AAATCAAGTCAAGGTAGAACAGAAACCTGGGAGTAAAGCTCAAAACCATAAAGTTCATAAGAGATAAACTGTGGGATCAAGCCTAGATGGCCTAGTCTGTGACATAAAGAGTTTGCCAAATGCAGCCAGAAATGTTCAGTCTGGAGAGGATAAAATTATGAATGGGACATTCTAAAGATTAAATTCCCGTGTGCATCAAAATAATTTTCCAACAGAAAAGAAAGTCTGCTGACTGGTAAGTAACATTTGGCAATACCATCTCAGACAAGAGTATCATATCAAAAGTTTACAGAATCTGACAGGGCCTGCACACAAAAAAAAGAAGAAGATAACTCAGTTACAAAATGGGGAAAAGACATAGAAAGACTTTTCACAGAGGAACATATTCAGATGGCCAACAGACACATGAAGAAATGCTCCAAATCACTGACATTAAGAGAGGCACAAATAAAAACCATAATGAGATACCATCTCATGTCAGTAGCGGTGGCAAAGTTTAGCAGGTAATAAATGTTAGAGAGGATGTGCCAAGATAGGAACTCTTCTTATACATTGGTGGTGGTGTTGTAAAGTGGTGCAAACCACTATAGAAGGCATTTTGATGCTTCCTCAAAAAAATGAACATAGACATTCCATATGACCTAGCTATTCCACTGCTTGGAATATACCCTGAGAGAATGAGAACTGAGACACAAATGGAGACTTGTACACCAGTGTTCATAGCAGCATTATTCATCATCACAAGAACATGGAAATAGCCCAAATATCCAACAACAATGGATTGGATTGAGAAATTATGGCACACTCACACAATGGAATACTACACAGCACACAGGAGCAATGATTTTATAAATTACTACCTAAAATGGAAGGGACTGGAGAGCATTATGCTAAGTGAACTAACTCAGTCTCATAAAGACAAATTTTATATAAAACCATTATAGTAGAAGGAGTATTAAGATCCCAAGTGGGGGTAGTAGAAGCAGAAGGGTGAGTATGGGTGGGGAGGAGGGTTGCTAATCTCAGGGTCTCACAATTTGATGGGTGGGGGAGGTACATGGGTAAGATCTGGTGTGAAAAAACTGTATCTTAACTGTGTAAATAAACCAG